GTCTATGTCCCTGGCAAAACGCTTGTCATCGCCGACACGTTGTCACGGAGTCCACAGACTCGGGCTGAGGATGACACTAGCACTCACAGTGAAGTGGACTGCTACATAGCCACCGTGTTACAGGGCATTTCAGCGTCCCCAAGCCGAATGGAAAGCATTAAAGCAGCCACTGCAACGGACGTTGAACTACAGACCGTCATTATGTACATTCGCAGGGGTTGGCCTGCACACGGAGCTAGTGTGCCATTGAACATTAAAGCGTACATGAAAGTGAAAAACGAGCTATCAGAGGCTGACGGCCTGGTTATACGAGGCTGCAGAATCGTCATTCCAAAGTTGCAGAGAACAGCCATTCTACACAAACTACATGAAGGGCACCAAGGCCTCATCAAGTGCAGGGATAGGGCTAATTCATCTGTGTGGTGGCCGGGGCTCTCCACTGAGCTAAAGAATGCAGTGCTGCAGTGCCACACATGTCTGGCACAGAGGCCAACACAGACAAGGGAGCCGCTCATCTCCACACCTTTGCCAGATCGTCCATGGCAAAGGATAGCCCTGGATCTCTGTGAACACAACCGGAATAATTACCTCGTTGTGTCAGACTACTACTCACGTTTTCTGGAAATACTTCACCTACCATCCACGACCAGCAGCCAAGTTGTTCAGAAACTGAAGTCGACCTTTGCTAGGTTTGGGATCCCTGACGTGGTGGTGAGTGACAATGGCCCACAGTTTTCCAGCTCTGAGTTCCAGGCCTTCGCGAGAGAGATGGATTTCGCCCACATAACGTCTAGTCCCCACCACCCACAAGGAAATGGTCACGCGGAGAGGGCAGTACAGACTGCAAAGAAAATCCTCCGGCACGACGACCCACTGATGGCGCTAATGTGCTTTAGGTCTACTCCCTGTGCCACTACAGGCTTCAGCCCAGCGGAACTTCTTATGGGGAGGAGGATCAGGACAACCCTGCCTACCTTGGAGAAGAATCTTCAACCTAAATGGCCAAACAAAAGAGAAGTTAAACGAAGGGATGCTGGTCAGAAGGCCAAGCAGGCGTTCTACTTCGACCGCCGCCATGGTGCTAAGCCCCTACCTCCACTTCATCCAGGGGATGCTGTCCTAACTAAGCTGGACCAGGAGAAGGCTTGGACAACACCGGCCATCATCTCCAAGGAGAGCGTCACTCCGAGGTCCTATCTCGTTGCCACACCCCAAGGTGCGATGCTGCGACGGAACCGCCGCCATCTCCGCCTCGAACCTTCTCCACGGGCTATGCCACAACCCCTTCCAACACCCACTGTGGACGCTGAGGAGCCGCCACCTCAGTGCACTGGTGCGTCCACTCCAGAGACCCCACATTTGGCCCCTAGTCTTGCCCCAACGCTCGCACCCACTCACGCTGACGTACCGACTCTGCTACGCACGAGGTGCGGCCGGGTACGTAAGCCAGTCAGCAGGCTGGATCTATAGACATTGGGGTGATGGGACAGAAGGAAGGACTGGGGAGTGGGAATGTTGTATTGTTGCTGTTTTGCACTTATGTTTTCAGCTGCAACCAATACTGCTGTTACCTGGTTGAGTTAATTACCTTAACGGTTTGCCATGTTTCATGGGTCCTGTTTTGTGGACACTGCCCTTCAGGCTGACAGTACGCCATTTGTGCTCGACCCTAAGAGAACCGCCCAGAGGCTATTATAGTGTCGCATGTTATCATTGTGTCATTGCTGTTCTATTTGGGGTTTGTTATTGGACATAACATGAAAAGGGGGGAGATGTCATGTACTGGGCTTTACGGCTTTACGCCACTAGGACCTGCTCTGCGGCAGGGGGCTGTCTATATCCTGTTCTATGTCTTAGCTGACACATACGTTGTTGAGCTGTTATAACCCATGCTGGATACACGTTCAATAAAGCAGCGTTACAAGAAAGCAACCGAGTGGTCATTCTACACCAACAAAACATTTTTCTCCTTCATTTCTGTCAAACAAAGCTGTATGTAACGTGTGTCGCGGTTAGTATCATGGTTGCTAGGCAACCTGAACAGCGCGACGAAGCGTATACCGTCCCATTTCACAAGCCTCTCACTTCCGCACTTCTCGTACTTATAGTACGCACCGTACGTAGTACGCGTAGTGCGCGTACTTCAAGCGTGCAGACCCTGAATTGGGACACAGCCAGCCAGTGGCTGCAGCCAGACCCTTCTCCTTGATTATGGTCGCCACGCAGATACTTCCGGTTCACAGCAAAATGCACCCATAGTGCATTGCGTTTGACCGTCATCACAACAGGAAGTGTGGAATATGGCAATAACAGCTTCATAAATCATTGTGTACAGTCTGGCCAATGGAAGACACCAGATAACAACACAACCGCATTAGAAAGATACCGACCCCACGACCAAGGCTTTCCCCCGAGTTTTAACCCCGTGGACCGTCCATCTATGATGGAACGGGCGATGGAGCAGCTCAACGTACAGCTCAGTCGATTGACCCGGTCTCTTCGCCGGGCCAGGACCGTGGAACTCCCGGAAGGTAGCGATGCAGTATGACCGAGCATTCATTTATTAGATAATGGACAAAAGTGATCTCCCCATCAGTTATTACGTGTGTGTGTTGCTCGGTGCAGGCACCAATGCTGCTTAGAAAACGTAGTTTCCCTTTGTAAAGATTCAAAATGACACAAAATTCAGGTTTTTATTTCAGTTTTATTTATAACGCGCAATTTCAAAACAACAGTTCTCTCAACGCGCTTTATGTCCTGTGGCCAAGATTTTACACTGAATCCGCAGCAATCAGATGAAACAGGAGACTTCCAGCAAACGCAGGTGTAGGGAGGGCAGCCAGCTGCTGTGGCCTTTTGAGAGCCAAGGGAAGGAGAGGACAGAGCGCCCACAAACAGCAAATGGGACCAAACACAAAGTAGAAGCATCAGGTAAAGTACAGTCAGGTTAATGACATGCAAAGGACAGAGGTAATTACATCAGGACTGAAAAGAGGCACCTGGAAAAAAAATACTCGGGGCATAAAGTGCCTCGAATTGAGAGTTGTTGTGGTTTGGCGCCATATAAGTAAAACTGAAATGAAAAAAATAAAATAAACAAACCCCAGATGAACAGCTGTTTCTCACGTGAGTGAGAGGGTGAATGCAGGCATCAACTACTGTCTCTCCAAGGTAACAGGTGCTTTGTACCACTCAGAGCTGTGCTGTTCATGATTGGTTTGGCAGGCGACTAGGTAAAATACATGTAGTGAAACAAATGATTTTGAGGGGAAATAAACAACAATTTGCTGATGACCTCGCTCTGAACTTTATTTAAGTAAACCTTTTTTGTTGTTCATGATGGAATATCACTCACCTTTCCTAGCTTTAACGTGAGCAATGACAGCTGACGCCGAGCCTGTCGAGGCTAAACGGTTCCACGAGGATGAAAACGATGTCGGTCATGTGCTAATGGTTTCAGTCACCTAATTCCAGCCCAGCTCAACTCCTCTGGGACATGTTGGACTGTGTTAGACACAAGTGAATGTTTTTGGAAGGATTGTTTTATCCCTCCAGTGGTGTTCCCCTGGTATGTTACACGTCATATTAAAACGAAAGCTTTTGAAGTAAATGTTGTACTAAATGAGAAAACAAATAAACAGTCTCAGTACAGTAATGTCACATAAAAAGGTATACATGCAATTAAACTAAGACATCAAATAAAGTTCCTTTTACCCATTTTCCAGTAGGAAACAATTGATTTTTGTAATCAAGTCATTCAAATTCCTTGATGAATCGTTGCTAATAAATCGTAATGTCTTTGTCAGTTGTTAGCTTTCACTGATATTTTCTGCATTATTTTCACCACAGACAATGAGACAGCGGTGTACACACTCATGCCAATGGTCATGGCAGACCAGCACAGGTACACGTGGAGCAGACTGTACTCATCACTAATTCATTCACTTTTATTTATGTGCTCGTTTTGGCTCACTGTGCATTAGATGGAAACGTATATTATGGTATGTCTGCTTACTTTAGGCAGTAGAAAAATATACTTGCCACTGCACATCTAATCTACGGCTGCAGAAGGATTGACATGTTTTTACATGTTCACTCCTCCCTCAGATCAGTGTCAGAGTTGCTGCTCAACTCCAAGTTTGATGTGAATTATGCTTTTGGACGAGTGAAGAGGAGTCTGCTACACATCGCAGCCAAGTAAGAGAGACTTTACAGCTGTAATCACAAATGTAACTGTGACATTCAATTCGTAGTTACTTACTTTGCTGAATATTTTCAAAGAGTTCTTTAAAGTAGTCCTTTTTAAACGATTTCTGTTTCAAAATAAACTCTAAACTGTGGAATAAGTTGTGCTGTAAGTCCTGTTAATGTGATGCTAGCAGAAACCTGTCCAGTTTGCTGTCACTGGTTCAGTCTCTGGTAAGCATTTAGTGGAATCAAAAAGTAACACCAAGGCCGTTGGATCGCTTTTCGTTCCAAAATCAGTAAAATAAGTAGTTCCCACTTTACGTCTGCACATTTCCTAGTAATGGTGCTTGCTCAGTGAAATACAGTGCAGTGAAAAAGTATTTTCCCCTTTTAATTTATAATTTATAAAGTCCAAACAACTTTGTCCCGCTTCTTAAATCATGAGTCGTTTTGACAGAGTGAAAAAGATCTAAAAAAGTAACGTACCACAATCACAAGTTTGTCAAACAGATGACAAACAGTCTCTCATTCAGTGTACATGCAGAGAGTTGCCTAGTCTGTTGTTCTGCACTAAATACGCTGTTTTCTCTGTACAGCTGTGGCTCATTGGAGTGTCTGGTGCTGCTGCTAAAGAGAGGAGCCAATCCAAACTATCAGGACATCTCAGGCTGCACCCCTCTGCATCTTGCTGCCAGGAATGGGTGTGTTGCTGTATTTAATCTGTTTATATGTTCATTTCTGATATGTTGTCTTGTTATATTTACTGCAGTACACTTTTGTTCATGTCAGGGTGTCTCAATACTGGACTTTTAGCTCATGTGTTACAGGACACTTTGTTTCTCATCATGCTGTTCGTTTAGGTGGAGCTTCATGAAAGATTTCAAATTGCAATCTTCTCAGTGCTACCAACCATCAACCTACTGCTTTCTATTATAGATAAGCTGACTACCTAATGTTAAAATAAATCATGACGTTTCTTTTTGTGTTTTACAAAGTTCAGGTGTTGACATTATAAAGTTACAGTTCAGTGTTAATGAGAACTGAGCTGAAAGAAATCAGACCAAAGACTGTCAATAAAAGGAACAGGCTGTTAAAAGGTCTGGTAAATGCGCCTTTCTGCTTTCCTGGAGCACTCAAAGCACTTTATAAAAGTAAGGACGTTGTGGGTTAGTCCTGTAATGTCTTAATGCATGCTCGATCATCCAGGTTAGGAAATCCCAAAAAGGTGATTCTAGTCATCTGGATGTTTTGTCTCTTATCCAAGTGACGTCTTCAGTCTGAATCAACTTTTTGGGATTGGTGCTGTAAGGACTGTTTATGAAATGCTGAGTGGAACTGAAGAAACTGGATGAATCACTTTGTAGATTACTGGCAGAAATCTAAATGAAGCCTTAGAGGTGCAGGGTTCACTCTTACAACTTTTCGTGCTTCGCCTGGAGCAAAATGTGTTTCCTTATATAAAGAAATGGAGGGACATGTTCGTATATAGTGCTTTTCAACTCTATCAGAACACTTTATACAACTTGCCTATTCCATCCATTCATGTCAATACTTTTTTTTCTATGCAAGTGCTTTCTAATCTATTCCTACTCCAATGGATGCATCTGAGAGCAACTCGGGGTTAGTATCTTGCCCAAGGATACATTGCATGTAGACTGGAGCAGGGATTGAACCACCAACCCTCCAATTATTAGATGACCTGCTAGATCTCCTGAGCTACAGCCACCCCTAATGTGCAGATTGTACAAGGCTCTTGGCCCCAAAAGATTCTGATTTATTAACATATGCATGTTAATGTGCAAATAAATTTTTTGCACGGGGTAAGAACATTTCCTTGTAAATATTAGTAAATGAGGCCCAGTGACACTAAACCATTTCCTGTACTGTTCCCTCAGACAGAAGAAGTGTATGGGGAAACTGTTGGAATATAATGCTGACGTCAATATCTGTAACAATGAAGGCCTGACTGCTGTGAGTTGACTTGAATCCTCTTGGTAAATCATAAATGATGGATGTTTAATGAACTCCTGTAGTTGAGATAGTGACACTGTAACCTCTAATGTAGATCCACTGGTTAGCAGTAAATGGGCGAACAGAGCTCCTGCATGATCTGGTCCAGCATGTGTCCAATGTGGATGTTGAAGACGCCATGGGCCAGACAGCGCTACATGTAGCCTGTCAAAACGGACACAAAACAGTAAGCAAATTAGAAGCAACCTTTTTAATTACATGTATAAACTGCTTGTTAGTGCACAGGGATCAAAACTTGGCAGCACATGTCAGCTTCAGCAGCCTCTTAGTAATCACATTACTTGCTCCAGGTGTGTGCATGATTGTCTGCGTCTTCGTTCATTTGTTCAGTATATTGTCTTTGGTTCAACAAGATCTTGAATAATCAGGCCCCATCTTACCTTAAAGTCCTCACAGTGCCTTATCACTCCAGTAGACCACAGACTGCTCGTTTACTTGTGGTTCCTGGGAAAACTTCCGCAGCAACCCAGCTGGGCGGGTTCACCGTCAGAACCGGGAGTCTGTGGAACGGATGCTGTGGGTGGGGGGGAGCACTAGCCAGGACCGGCAGAACTAATCTAGCGAGTGTCAACGCATCGTTCATCGCCCATTTCTCTGATTTGTGAAACTATTGGGTTAACATGGAGAGTGACTCCTCGTGTTTCTGGAGTAACATGTTGGGAGAAGTGTCTGCGCGATCTGCTGGGTCCATACGTGTGGTCAGAGTATTCTGTTATGGACAACTCAGGTGGACCCAGGTAGGAGATCACACAACTGTAAATATTTTACAAGCCATATTCAAAAGCTAATCTATCGATTTCTCATCTGGTCTCATCTTATTCATTCCATGGCAGACACGTCTGACCTGTTGCTCAACACGCAATAGCGTAGAATACTAAATACCTAGATATTTATTTGATAAACATTTTTTCTCAATGAAATTCAAACCTGAAATCTTCCATCAGACTGAAAATTACATCTGCAGCCATAAAGGAAGTATCTAGAAACCATTTGGCAACGTAAATCCCCAGTGCACTGCAAACCAGTTCTGTTGTGTTACTGATTGCTGAGCTCCTGTTTTCTCGTTCTAATAATAAATATTTCCAGTATGTGATATGAGCATGTATCACATCTGTTCAGACGGTGCTTTGTCTTCTGGAAAGTGGAGCTGACATTAACCGACCAAACGTCTCTGGAGCAACGCCTCTTTACTTTGCTTGCAGGTAATGTCATCAGTCATAATAACAATAATAGTAGTGATACTGAGTGTGCTCGTAGCTCTTTTACACTTCATCTTGAGTCTTCGGGATTATAAATGCACAGCAGATTAGTTTTGCGTTTGAATCCAGCTGTATTGAAACTCATCCTGCATTATTCTTTAGCCATGGCCAGAGAGACACAGCCCAGATCCTTCTCTCTCGAGGTGCCAAGTACATCGCTGACAACAATGGAGTCACTCCACTGGATGTCTGTGTGCAGGTGAGTGTTTCATTTTTAAGTATTTTTTTTCTCTTCCTATTTTGTCGTCGTTTGGTTTGTGTTACTCTGCTTTGAGTTTTTTCTGCCGCCCTCAGGGAGGATATGGAGAAACCTGTGAGATTCTCATCCAGCACCATAGCAGGCTGTTCTTGACCCTCATCCAGATGACGCAGAATAATGACATTAAAGAGAACATGGTATCAGAATTTGTATCTGATTTCACACAGAAATCTATTTTATACTTTAGATTAGTTACGAGTGTTTGTGTTTGTGTAGCTCAGGCAGGTTCTGGAACATGTCTCTCAGCAGAGTGATAGTCATTACCACAGGATCTTGACCAGTCTTGCAGAAGTGGCTACCACCAATGGACACAAGCTTCTCAGGTAAAATTACATATATTTGAGTATGTCTCACCAAAATCCGGACAGTTTATCCCATTAAACACAGTGTGTCAATGTGTCGCTGTAATTTAAAACTAAAACTTCTTCATGTTAGGTCTTAGAAAAAATGAATTTATTATTAACTACAACATTATTATTAATAAACTGGAATCTATGCTTCTAACTGAAACTGGTAACAGACAGAGACATGGGCCCATCCTCCTGTAGGCCCACCACCCGCAGGAGGCGCCATACAGGTTGGGTGCAATGTGTGTCGGGCGGCAGCAGTGGCGTGTCTAGAAAATTTTTGTTGGGGGGGCCAGGTAGGGGCACAGATTTGGAGAAGGGTGGCAGATGTAATTGGCAGATAATGTTTAAAAAAAATTCTACCAACCATTAACCATAATTCAATAACCCTGTAAACCTAATAACCGAATGCGCTTTTAACTCTTATTAGAATGAGGTTTTAACCACTACGGTGCAAAGTTTTTAGATACTGCGTTGATAAAGTACAAGAGATACAATCAGTCAGTGTTTACTCAGCATTCAAGGACAGCAATATTTTCATAGTGTTTTTACTGATATATAGTGAACATATGTTTTGGGCAAAAACATTTTTGAATATTAAAATACGAACATTTGTAACAAAAAATTGACAAATTAGCCAGTTCCAATGTAATTCTTTATCTGCCTGTTAAAAAAAGAAGATAATCTTCTCACAAACTGGTG